AAACAGCCACTGGCCAAAAGGATGGCCCAGCACCGAAGATCAACATCATCAGGCCAGGACTCTGTGGTCTACACTCATCTCCAGGCCAGCGGTCACTCTTTCAGGGATGACAATGTTCACATCCTTGATAGAGAGGAACGGTGGTTTGAGAGAGGAGTGAAGGAAGTCATCTTTGTGAAAATAAACTGTCCAACAGGGATGAGGTCTCTGTGTTCAGCAGTTGACTTCTTCAGTCCGAGGAGCTGCAATAAACTCAGTCTTATTAGCAGCCCCTTTTCATAGTGGATCAACCAGTTTGCAGATGACATCCAGAGCTAGCTGTTCTCATGTAAAAAGAGGACCATCAGCCTAATAATTGATCTTTGGTGACCTGATGGCCGCTTGCTCTTCACAGAAGGCTGAGTGATACTAGCAATAACAGCATTGTAAGAGGGGGACTGTACTGTCATTGCTCGTGTCACTCAGCCCCCTGTGAATAGCAAGCAGCCATCAAGGTACTAACAATCCACTGTTAGGCTGATGTCATGTGAGCAGCTAGTTTTGAATGTCAACAACAAACTGGTTGATCCACTGTGGGAAGGTGCTATTTATAAGACTGAGCTTATTACAGCTCCTCAGACTGACAAAGTCTACAAATCTCTACAAGTTTTTTTTTTTTTTTTTTGGTTAATCCGAGCAGAGGACCTGACTTAACTTTTTTTTTAGAACTTACAGTATAGTCTACATGGCCACCCCACGATTAACAATGGCCCCCATCTGGCCACCTTTAAAACATTTCTGGAGGCGCCCCTGGTGCATTCACTGGTTCCAAACGGTTCCTCGTGGAGAAAAAGAGGGGACCTTTTGGTCCCGTTATTTTAATAAGTTTATGGAGGCGTGGCCGAATGCCAATTTTATTTGAAAGGTGGACTGATTAGGTCAGCAGATTAATCGACCCAACTCGAATAACAGCACCTAATCGGAGTTACTGAACAGAGGAAATTAATTTAAGAAGATGATTACTTTATAATCAAGTATAGGGTCGACCCTGGGCGGATAATTGGCGCGCGGCCCCTTTAAGACTTAGGATTTGGGAGTGACGCGGACAGGAGAGCTGGTTTGTCCCTGTTTCCTTCGCTACGAAAAATATTTGGACTAACTAAACCAACTGCTGGCAGCACCAGTTATTTGTGTTATTATGATGCGGGTTTGTGTAACTTGTTGAGAAAGGCGACCCCGGGACCCGTCTTGTTTAGGACCTGATTTATTCTCCGGTCGGGATTGTTGTGTTTGTTCGGGCCGAGCTGTCGGGATAAACTTTTTTTTTTTTTTTTGTGGAAAAGTTCTTTGTATTCAAACCGAACATGGACTGGGGCACAGAACTTTGGGTGAGTCCATCATCTGACTGTTAATTAAATAGCATGAAGGTGGCAATGATGCATTTGTATTTACATGTTTGATGCTTCGTATGAAGTTTTGTTTGCAGGCGAGTTGAGCGGTGAAAACGATGCGTTCAGGAACACGCTGTTTCCCTCCTGAGGCGTTTTATTTATTTATTTAAACATGTAATATATATAAAAAACGACGAACACAGCACCTGAACGTCACATAGCTTTATTTAATTTGGTGTAACAGGTCATAATGTTTGCAGCACTTTTACCACGAGTGGGTTTTAAGTTAAATATATATATATATATATATATATATATATATATATATATTTCTGTTTAAACAGTTTGATGCGGGTTGTATCTTTAGGATGCTGCTCTGTTTATATTGTGTCACACTTGGCTTCCATAGAGATGCTGAGATGTGACCTGGCAACAAACATCATCACTGATAAAACGTTTAATGTTTATGCTTTGCATGCTCTGAATGCTGGTATAAGTAGGTTTTCATCGTTGGGTGACTGTAAGTAAGCTGTTAACAGTGTCAACCCAAAGATAATGCAGTCTTGGAGCAAACTTTGAACCCCTTCCTGGAAGCAGCAGTGAAAGGGTTCACTTTATCCTGAACATAAACAAAACCAGCAATGGTGCTTTCACGTTCCCAGGGAACCTGGTGTGTAAAATGGAGCATTGCAGAGCTGAGGACAGGAAGGTTGCGACCTCATTACAGGCTCCCCCTGGGCCTTTCCCCAGTCTCCCATTTTTTCCTCATCCCATGTAGTGGTGCAGCAGCCTAATTAATTTTGCCCTACTTTGATTGACTCACAGAAACATTCACTCCTGCCATATTCAGATGTTCCATCCCTGTTCAAGGTTTTATTGCCCACAATAATGTTTTTGCCTTTGTCTTTTGTTTGTCTGTCATGCTGTAAGTTAAGTTTGGTGGTTGTAGCTGAGCATGATCCCCAACAGATACTCTTGTTTGTGTCAAAACTCTTTGTTGGCAACATTTTGCTTGATGGATTTTAATTCAACTTTTAGAAAGTAATCATTGCATGCACATCTACAACTGCTTCGCATTAAGATGGCCGCCACAGCCAACTTACCTTGGCCGACACAATAATGTCAAACTTACAGATTTTTAGTGTTTTTCTGGTAGCTGAGAGACGTCCTCAACTAGACCTGTCACGATAACAAATTTTGCTGGGCGATTAATTGTCTCAGGAATTATTGCGATACATGATAATATTGTTTGAAATTTGACAATATTTAGTAATTGTCAAATTTAAGAAGAAATGTCGGTAAATTTTTGTGTGTAGTATATTTTTTTGACCACTGGATGGCAGTATAAAGTGGTTTGAACCAACGGATGGATAGTGAGGGAGCGAGCAGCGTGTCTCTTTAAGAAAAATGGGAGGGAGGCCCCTTGACGTGACGTGGGCTGTTTCTCGTTCCTGTTTTTCAGTTCTCAAAAGGGCAGATGCTCGGTGTGGTTTGAGCTCTTTAGCATAGCATAGCATTGAGCATGCATCAGGATCTTTAGCATAGCATTTGTCACACAAAGCTTTCAATAAATAAAATAAAAAAAGGTAAACAAGTGCTCAGCTTCTTTGCAGAGAAAGCCAACTTTTCTAGACGAAGGCACGGGTTTCAACTGTGAAATTTAGAGCTTCGACAAGACGGAGTTTTTTTCCAGAGTCGGCCTGTTAGCTTAGTTTTAGCTTAGCTTCGCAGCTTGGACAGTTAAAACAGATTTTAAAGAGAAATAGAAGGGTCAGAGCACCGGAGTTGAGCTTTTTGTCATCCAGTGTCTTCAGTAGAATGAGAGACACGAAGAAACAATAAAGCCGATAAATGAAAATGAGGTCGATAATTTTAATTTATCGTGCGATTAATCGATTAATTGATTGATTGATTTTATTGCAACAGGCAGGCCTATCCTCAACATATTATTGGGGCTAATGCATCTCACAATATCACACAGGATTGTGCAGAACATCATTTACAAGGTTTGACCAAAACTTTTCCAACTTGATTTCTTTTGATTGAATGATCTTCGTATAAAACGATGGCACGGAAGACACCGGGAGACGCGCGTTACTCTAAGGATTAGCGTTTGTTTCACTGCGTGATGGAGTTTAAGAGGAAATCCAGCACCTACAAGTTTTTGCTGTTTTCCCTTGGTGTTAAATTATTCCATGCACATGCAGCAAAAATGAACGTTTTTAGATTTTGTGTTTGTTCAAGCAAAACTTTTGGTTTTGCTGATGTTTGGCTGCAGAGGAGAACTCGTTGGCCAGGTCAGCTCTTTGGCATCTGCTCCCCTGATTGTTTTTAATCCGGTGTCTATTTTAAGGCGCCGGTTTACAGTGCAAGATGATCAGTGTCTGGGTTTTAGTTGTGATAGTGACAGTACCTCCTGCGTGGCAGGTCTGGCAGGGCCATGCTTTTTGATGACAATGATTGACTCAGAGCTGAAACATTCGTAGGAAATTTTAACAAAGTGACTAATTCAAATGTTTTGTTAACCTTTTATTTCATGTAAGAACGGCATTAGATGTTGAAGTGACACAACCATAATTTTATTGCTTCCTTTGATTCATGTGCAACACAATGGGTTATGGGTTTTCATAATATATACTTATTAAACATGCACCTGTTGCCAGGTGTTGGAACAGAGACAACTTTAGAAGTCTAATAATGTTCAGAAGCTGCAATTGGCTTCATAATAAAATGTTAATCAAGTGTTTTGATCGTTTCTTGACGCAGCCATTTTGGATTTATGAAGTTCATTTGAGTACAAACCGTCTTTATGGAGAGAGAGGAAAATTTTGGCTGTTTTTTTTTTTTTTTGACGGTGAATGTGCTTCAGTTTGACGGCCTCTGGCAGTGAAGCAGCCAGAAATGAGTTTACAGGTGAGCCTGACTGAAAGTGGGTGTGCCACCAAATTGAACACAACTTGTAAAAACAGTTTCTTTGTATGTTTACCCTGTTTTCTACAAGAGTGGTTCTCAAACGATTCAGCTTCTGACCCTCAGAACAACAGCAGCTTTACAAAACATAAAAAAAAAGAAAACCACAAGCCCAGAGGACCTGGTTATTCAATTCAGTTTATTTATATAGTGTCACTTCACAACAAAGTTGTCTCAGGGCACTTTACAAGAACATACGTAGAAAAGCCAATTGGTAAAGTTCTCTATCTAAGGAATCCAGCAGACATGATGAATCTTCACTTCGTCGCAGTCTTACATCCTGAGCAAGCACAGTGGCAACAGTGGAAAGGAAAAACTCCCTTTTTAACAGGAAGAAACCTCCAGCAGAACCAGGCTCAGGACAAGTGGCCATCTGCTTTGACCGGCTGGTTTGAGAGGACAGGAAGAAGAGACAGACGCACACAGAATGGCAGGTCCACATGTAGGTGCAGGTGTACCTGAAAGACAAAAACACATGTTAGGATAGAAAAAATAATTACAAATACAAAACAGGTTGAGCAGAGGAAGTAAAGACAGTAGCAGAGTGAAAAAATGTGGTCAGTTTGTCCTCCAGCAGTCTAAGCCTATAGCTGCATAACTAAGGGTTATCTCCGTAAACCCAAGCCGACCCTAACTATAGGATTGATCAAAAACAAAAGTCTTAAGCCCAGTCTTAAAACTGGACAATGTGTCAGTCAAACAGACAGAAACTGGAAGTTGATTCCACAAGAGTGGAGCCGGATAACTGAAATATCTTCCTCCCATTCTACTTTTTGAAACTCTAGGAACTGCAAGTAAACCTGCAGTCTGAGAGCAAAGTGCTCTGTTAGGAAAGTACGGAACAATAAAATCTGTAATATAAGATGGAGCTAGGTTGTTGAGAGCTTTGTAGGTTAGAAGTAAGATTTTGAATTCTATTCTGAATTTGACAGGGAGCCAATGGAGAGAAGCTAAAACTGGAGAGAGATGATTTCTCCTACCTGCATTATTGAGCATAAGCATAAAAAAACCCACAGGGTTTATTTTAAAACAAATAGTTAATTTGAAAGAGTTTTAAAAGTATTTCAAGCGATACCTTAATAGATCACGATTTAAACGAGTAAAAGCATTTTAAAATCCAAGATTCTTGATTTAATGTGTTTGAAATGATCCATTTCATTCCCATGAAACTTTCAGGAAATGTCATGTAATATATGTTGTATCATATTCAGTGTATTGGGTAAATTTTCATCAGTTTGTTTTTATTCAGCTTAACATAAGATACTTTGGTGGATGATTGAGTCAGGTTCTGAACCTAACTTTTGGAACCACGAGCTTCTGAAGATCAATCTGTGCAGTCCTTACAAACGAATCTCTTTGGATCAGCTGAACCAGCTTCAGATGCTGCAGTCATATAAAACACAAAAGACAAACCACATTTATTCAATCTGTAATTTAGAGACGGCATAAGGTTCCAAAATCGAAGTAGTATTTAAATTCTTCATGAGGTTATGGACCCGGGAGCCTATAACCTTCTTTATTTTTACACAGATTTGATCAGTCTATGGTAGAAATGCTCTTTAATTCAGAGAAATGCACCAAACACAGATCAACACTTTTTGTTTTTTGTGTTCCATACAATGCTTGTTGCATCTCCTAAGCTTTACTGCGGGTTGGTAAACCACTAAAACACATCTGTTATATCAGAGATTTGACCAAAGCACAGATTTGATCTTTCTACACAAGTACTCCGTTATCTATGTTTTCTGAATCTGATAAGTGTTGCACTGTTTGCGCTGCGTAACTGTGCAAACGCAGAAGCAGAACACATTATGAGGTGGCTGCTCGTGAAGAAGGGGACACATTTCAACTTTGAGGACCTTGTACAAATCCTAACCTGCCTCTCAGTCTCCACAGTGTTTTGTTGCACCGTGCTGCAGACTGAACAAAATCCCAAACCTGAATATGCAAATGGTATACTCGCAAATGCAAATAGCCAGAATTGAAGGCTAAAGGCTGAGAGCTGCTTTTCACTTGTGCTCTCGTGTTCTATAAGAATTTGTGGCTCTGCACAAAACATTTTGTGTATTTGCACAAATATGAAAACAATGTAAGGGTGTTTTTAATTTATGCAGTGAATCTAAAGATTCAGTGTTGCATGTTTTGTGAAAGGAAAAGAGAAACAAATCTCTTATGGTTAATTTAATATAAAACAGCAGGAAATTGAAAGTTCTGTTTTAAAGAAAATCCATTATTTTTTTTGAAGAAATAAACTGTATTCCAACATTTTTTTAAAGGAACACAGAAGTGGTAGTATCATTGTTTGGGTCTGTTCCCTTTCATCTGGTCCTGCTTGTTTTTTTTTTTTTTTAGTTATTCTAAATATACCTAAGTTTGAAAGAAGCATCAAACGAGTACAACCTGTGAAATGAATCACTGACACCACCTCTCTCACAAGTGTCTCATTAAACTATTTTCACAAGAGAATTCTTCTTTCGGCCGCTCCCTTCCTCAGGGGTTACCACAGCGAACTAACTCGCACGAAGACTTGGAGGTTGTTTTTACGCCTGATGCCCTTCCTGACGCAACCACAGACCACTGAGCTACCGCAGCCCTCTGTGTGGAGCAGAGAGCTGCCATCTAGGGCGCCTGGGGGAGCAGATGGTGGGGGTTAAGGATCTTGCTCAAGGGCCCAGAGTGGAGGCCATTGTTCATCTTTCCCACCCACATTTATAATCGGATTATAATCTAAATAAAACTACAAGGATTTGATGTTTAGGATGGGAAACTTTCATCTCAACAAAACAAAACAATTAACCTGAAAATGTTCAGGGTCTCGTTAAACAGACTCGTCAGTGCTGGGACATGTTGAATCATTTATAGAAACGTTGGACTTGATTATTAAACTTGATATTTATCAGCTTGTATGTGTAAAAACATATTACCATAAACGGGTCTCGTTTGTAAATGAGTCTGCGAGGCTCAATGTGATTTAGCTGTGTAAATAAAGGTTGAATGAATATTCATGTCTTGTTTGTAAAAAATCGTGAGAATTTTCTCCGACGCTTCATTTTTGTTTGGAAGATTTTGTGCGTGTAGAATGTAATAGCAACAATAGTTATAAACATGACAAAGTTATAGTAGCAGTACGCGGTTAACATAAAATGTTTATGTTAATAGCAAATAAAAACTAAACTGGATCAGTTAATATTTTACACTTGGTAATAAAAAGTAAAGTAACAGAATAGACCATTTTATAATTTACCTACAAGTTTACTGTATAATTTAAACCTAAAACCTTGTGATTTTTAATGCAACTCTGCTAATACTACAAAGTTTGATTGTCCAACTGCAACTCTTATAACCAAGAACAGGTCTGTCACGATAAACGATAAATCAATTAATCGCATGATAAATGAAAATGAGGTCGATAATTTTCATTTATCGTCTATCGCTTCTTCGTGTCTTTTTACTGAAGACACTCGATGACAAAGGCTCAACTCCGGTGCTCTTCACTGACCCTTCCCTTTCTCTTTTCTCTTTAAAATCGGTTTTGACCGTCCAAAATCGTGTTTTTGGATCGTTAAAAGCAGCTAAACTGAGAAGCTAAGCTACGAGCTACGCTAACAGGCTGACCTCGGGTAAAAAAATCTGTCTTGTTGAAGCTCCAAAATTCATGGTTGAAACCTGTGTCTTCGTCTAAAAAGTAGTTTTTCTCTGCAAAAAGATGCTGAGAACTTGTTTACTGATTTTTAAAAAATTAAAAGCTTTGTGTGAAAAATGCTATGCTAACGAGCTCAAACCACACCGAGCGTCCACCATTTTGAGAACCGAAATAAAGGAGACAGCCCATGTCACGACAAGGGGCCTCCCTCCCATTTTTCTTAAGAGAGACACGTTGCTCGCGTCCTCACTATCCATCCTTTGGTTCAAACTGTTTTACACTGCCATCCAGTGGTCAAAAAAAGGTACTACACTCAAGTGAATTATGAAACGTTTCTTCTTAAATTTGACAATTGCTAATTATTGTCAAATTTCAAACAATATTATCGTTTATCGCAATAATTTCTGAGACAATTAATCGCCCAGCAAAATTTGTTATCGTGACAGGCCTAACCAAGAATGAAGAAAGTTTCATGCTGATTGCCTTTGCTTTGTTGTATGTTACTTGACTCTGCAGGGCAGTTGAGCACTCAGATTTTTTTATAGGGGTGCACCGATGAATTGGCCCTGATTTCCCTAATGTTGAGTGATCGGCCGATACATGAGAAACTGATTTTACAGAAATTTTCTACTTCTAACAATTGTCTAAACTTAATTTATATTTCAAAACACTACCTCTTGGCCAGTTAAAACTAAGTTTGTATTGTTTCTAGGATATTGTTCAAGGGCATTTTTTTTTCTCAATAAAATACGATTGGAAAATTGAAGGTGCATTGTGACCTTATAACACCTGACAGTGTCGCTTATCAAACAAAATCGGTATCGGCCAAAATCTGTATTGGCAAGTCCAGACTTTTTAGGGATTGATGCTCGGCCAGAAAACTGTAATCGGTGCACCCCTAATTTTATGTAAAAGCCTGATGATACCAGTATATCAAGAAATGAACTATTTGATTTGATCAATTTTCCGATGCTTGAAGTTGGTATCTTTCAGTGTTGTTAAAATTTCCAGACTGAGATAGAAGGAGGGGGAGTATCCTCAAACAAAGGATATGCTGAGTTAGCAAAAATGTGTGAGCCATTATGACTGTCAAAACTTCTGTTACTCAAAAATAACCTTGCTTGAAAAGCCCAGCAAGGCAAAACATTATTGCTGGCCTTTTCTGGGGTTCTGTGTTGCAGGCTGCTTCGGTCTGTGATTAGGCAACCTCATTCATCTGAGTCTGTTTTATTTAATCTAAAGTGCATGGAGGGTGCAGAGGAACAAGGCCCAACATGTCAGGAATCCCCTTTCTAAATATGCCCCTACTTCAATGCAAAATTAGCAGCAATAAAATCTGGGGGGAGCTGCTCTTTGTCTACAGTAAGAAAAAACAGCGTTTTGATGCCATCCCTCACGTCTAACAGACCTGTCTGAACTTGAAGGTGCCAAAAAGTCATGCCAGATAAGCAAAAGCAGAAGTAAAGAAACTGAAAATTACTTTGTCGTCTCGCTAAAAATAAGCGAAAATCAGCAAATTTTCCTGAATGAAGTGGAAAAAGTGGTTTAAAGATGCACAATTGCATAATAAGAGCTGTGATTTAGTCGCACCTTTTCCCACATTATTATAATTATAGAACAGCTTAATCAACACTGTTTAACTAGGTATTTCAGGCAGATTGTGCCTTTTTAACTGTTTTTATCCCCTCGTTCATGATGGGTGTGCTCCATGTTTTAAAGCTAAGCAGAAGTTTAAAGACCATCACACAAACACGTTTACCACATGTGAAGCGCATTCCCAGAATCCAGCATGCAGGAAAAAGCTCGTTCTGTTTAGTTTGTTGTCTTTCATTCAAGATTCTTGTAGTCTAAAGGTTAGCACAAGCTCTGTCTTTTTTTTTTTTTTTTAAACCTTTATATTCTTTATTGCTTCTCCAGGATCAGTATGACATAATCGAGAAGCACACACAGTCCGGCCTGGAGCTGGTGGAGAAGTACGTCAAATTTGTGAAGGAGAGAACAGAGATTGAGCAAAACTATGCCAAACAACTGAGGTACGGTTCAGTTTACTGTATTTTTTTTCCCCTATATGAGCTGTCCAGAATCTTTTGCAGCTTGTGCGTCCTTAGTTGCACATAAGAACATTGTTTGTGAAAGGTTCTTGGGTCTTATGACTGCTTTGGGACAGATTCTAGCTTGTCTTTGAAACACTAGCCTAATTCTCCAGCTGCTCCACGTCTCCCGTCTTTCTCAACCCTTTGGTTCCCAGTGCACAAGCCCACATCTGTTGTAGTGCTGAGCTTTGCTGCAGAGCAGAGGAAGTGGGAGCAGACTGGCACATGACAGACTGGAAGTGGTCATTGAGAGAGAGTGAAAGAAGGAAGAGCAGCTAAATAAATATGTTCGTTGTGAATGATTATTTTAATATAGTGAAAAACCTTGGAATGGTTGCACAAGCAAGTCGTATTGTACATTTTTGTAAAGCCCTTTCAATGCCCACAGGAATCTTTCCAAGAAATATTACCAAAAGCGATGCAGCAAAGATGAGCCAGAGTGCAGGTGAGCTTCACAGCTTGTTAGGCTATTACAAAAAATGAACACTTTTTAAAAGTTGTAAAGAGTTGTTTTCATCGTTGTTATCCGTGCACTTGTTGTGGGATGTTTGTAGGCAACATTTAAATGCCCTCAGAAGGAAACAGGAATAAGGAAGTCGTGATCTTGTTATCAGGACTTCACCCACTGCAGAACTTTTGGCAATTATCCCGTTATCAGCAGTCCCATCCGCATGTCCTCATGTCTCCACCCTTTCCTTTTTCTCCTCTTCAATGATAGGTTGTCCAGCTACCAGTCCTATTTGGACATCCTGAATGAGATGAACGACTATGCGGGCCAGAGGGAGCTAATTGCAGAGAACTTGATGATGAACATTTGTATTGATCTCACAAAGTACCTGCAAGAGCTCAAGCAGGAGCGAAAGACGGTGAGCTTGATATGCAAAGTACTGATAACGTGCAGAGATTTCCTGGTTACGGTCCAGTAGAGCCATCCTCTGATACTCCTAATTTTAGATTTATTAACTGTGATGGTGTCCTTTATTTGCCTGCCCCTCAAAGGTGAGAGGCGACAGTGTTTTAGCCCATATCTGTGTCTGTTTTTTTAACCAAAATATCTCAATAACCTCCTGAGGGATTTTAATGAAACTCTTAGAAAGTAATGTTTGGATGTACATCTACAACTAATCCACTTTTGGGGTCATTCTAATTTAAGATGGCTGCCACAGCCAGCTGAACTTGGGGTAGGCCTGTCATGATAATAAATTTTGCTGGACAATTAATTGTCTCAGAAATTATTGCGATAAACGATAATATTCTTTGAAATTTGACAATAATTATTAATTATTGTCAAATTTAAGAATAAATGTTGGTTAATTTTTGTGTTTGGTACCTTTTTTTTAACCACTGTATGGCAGTATAAGACTGTTTGAACCGAAGGATGGATAGTGAGGGAGCGAGCAGCGTGCCTCTTTAAGAAAAATGGAAGGGAGGCCCCTTGACGTGACATGGGCTGTCACACGTTCCTGTTTTTCGGTTCTCAAAATGGCGAATGCTCGGTGTGGTTTGAGCAGTTTAGCATTTTTCACACAAAGCTTTTAATAAAAACTCAGTAAACAAGTTCTCAGCTTCAACAAAGTCCATGCTCAATAATCCAGGATTACAATCCAACATTTTTCAGTCAGGTCATCTGAACAGCACAAAAAAAGAAACTGTCCAGATGACCAGACTGAAAAATGTTGGATTGTAATCCTGGATTATTGAGCATGGACTTTGTTGTTTTCAACCAGTTTGACACGACTGTCAACAAGGAAGAGGGCCGGCAATGGAGTAGGGGGCGTACCAAAGAGACCATCTTAGCACCAACATAACTGGTTTGTTCCACTTTGGAGTCAGCTGTTGGGGGAAGAATCAGTTTTTTTGTTTGTCCTTGACTGATGAAGCCTTCTGGATCGAAGGTCCAACGTTTCAGCACAAAAAAAGAAACTGTTCAGATGACCTGACTGAAAAATGTTGGAAGTTCTCAGCTTCTTTTTGCAGAGAAAAACAACTTTTTACACAAAGGCACAGGTTTCAACTGTGAATTTTGGAGCTTTGACAAGACAGAGTTTTTTTTTCCTGAGGTCGGCCTGTTAGCTTAGCTTAGCTCGTAGCTTAGCTTCTCAGCATAACTGCTTTTAACGATCCAAAAACAAAATGGTTGAAATGGATTTTAAAGAGAAATGGAGGGGTCAGTGAAGAGACTGGAGTTGAGCCTTGTCATCCAGTGACGTCAAAACGAGACACGAAGAAACGATAAAGCCGATAAATGAAAACGAGATCAGTAATTTTCATTGATCATGCGATTAATTGATTTATTGTTTATCGTGACAGGCCTACCTTGGGGAACAAAAAAAAATATCTTTTACTCAGTTTTACTCTCATTTTTACAGATATAAAGGTAAACATTGGTGTAGTTGTAGCTGAGAGTTATCCTCTACATATCTTCTGAGTGCTACTGTAATACATGTCGATGAGATCCCCCATAATGTCATTTACGAGGTTTAACCTTAACAGATAAAACTCTGTTCCCTGTCATCATAAGATCTTAATTCCAAACTCTGGCATGAAAGACGATCTGCATTACTTAAAGGAATGCCAAGGCTAAATATTTAACATTGTGTTTAAATCATACAGAAATGTTTATTCTGCACACTATTATATTTGTGTGTACAAGACCATACTTGTAAATAGTCTTGACAAAACACCAAATGGGGTTTTTATTTATACAGCAAACACAATTTGGGAAGAGACGTATGGGAGGGGTAGAAAACCAGATTTATAAGAGTTGAGATGTGGAGACATCACGATGCTGCAGCAGGAAAGAAGTTTTAAGTGTCTCCTGAGGGAGAACTGGTTGTGCAGTGGTGTTCTGTTTCTCCATGAGAACTACTCCATCTTTGTTATGTTGGGTTGCAGGACATTGCAGCTATGTACAGCTGAAGATGTTGCGTCTCAAACTGACACGCTGCTATTTGTTTTCCTGTCTAATTTGCAGTGTGGCTTTCCAAGGTCCTCGTTTATCTTGTCTTCTCCCACACATGTCTCTCTCCGTCATAAGGCCTCCTTGTCATTTTGTTTTTATATAAATGTCTGCAGTATCTGATGGAGGTCAAGAAGGCCCAGCAGAGTTTGGAGAGCACCTACAAGCAGCTCGACTATGTGAGTCGACTCTTAAAATGTGTAGACCGGTCAAAATAACCCTAATATTGTTTTTGGCAAAGTGCAATAGTGTTTTTTTTTTTCCAAAAAATTTGTGTGTTCATTTGACTGTCGTTGCAAAATATCTCATGGACTTCTGGAGTGATTTTATTGAAACTTTTTTTAGATAATCGTTGCACGTACATGTACAGATGGAGTCAACTCATTCCAAGGGGATCTCTACAGGAAATCAACCGTAGCCAAAACAAAAATGGCTCCAAGTCAAGTTTATAGATTTTGAGCTAAAGTTTTGTGTGGTATTAGATGGGCGCCATCCTCAAATCATTCTTTGAGCTCTAACAAATCTGAGAACCTCCCAGTATCACTTGAGATGACGTCATTTACAAGGTTTAACTAAAACACTAGTCCCTCGCTACTTCGCGGTTCGACTTTTGCAGACTCACTCTTTCGCTGTTTTTCAAAGTAAGATTGGACATGACACACAATTGTCTGATTGGATGAGCTGCAAGATCAACCTGGATTAAAAAAAAAATTTAAATAAATTATTTAAAATTATTTTGCACCAGATGCACATGTGTGCAGCCCACATGTGCAGGGAGAAGCTCCCTCCTGCAGCATGTCATGATCTCTGCTCTGCAGCAGAGACGTAGGTGTGGCAGATAGAGCAGAGATCATGACATTCTGTGCTCTTTTAGAACGTTTAGAGTTTAGAAACATTGTTTAGGATGTTGCAAGAGTGTGGGAAGGGTTTAAAACGCCTTAAAAATGAATGTATACTGTGGTCCCTCGTTTATCACGGGTGTTTGGGACCACGCCCACCCACGATAAGTGAAAAACAACGAAGTAGAAATACAGTAGTTCAAGTTCAGTAAACTTTGATATGTGCCAGGCTGTAATCACACTCATCACCTGTTACTCACAATCTCCCTCCTTAAATAAACAATTTAAATTTAAATACTGTAACATTTTAAATGAACAATCCATACAGCATGGATTGTTTATTCAAACTGTTGCAGTATTTGAATTTAAATTGTAGAGAAGAGAAGTGCAGCAGGACATCAAAGAGATGTCACACAGCTTCACAGAGCAGAACTGTCCATCCATCCATCCATTTTCTTTACCCGTTTATTCCATTTTGGGTCACGGGGGTCGCTGGTGCCCATGTCCAGCAATCACTGTGCGAGGGGCGGGGTACACCCTGGACGGGTCGCAAGTCCATCACAGGGACACATAGAGACAAACGAGACAAACAACCATTCACTCTCTCACTCACACCTAGGGACAATTTAGAGTTACCAATCAGCCTAACATGCATGTTTTTGGTCTGTGGGAAGAAACCGGAGTACCCGGAGAAAACCCACACATGCACGGAGAGAACATGCAAACTCCACCCAGAAGGCCCCTGGACCGGGGTTTGAACCAGGGACCTGTTCGCTGAGAGGCAGCAGCTCTACCAGTTGCGCCACCGTGCTGCCCTGAGCAGAACTGTACTTTTTGATAATTACACTTCAACAACTGATCATAGAAGTTCTAAAGTATTGAAAAATAACTTTTAACACTTTATATTTTGTGATTATGAGGATTTTTACGATGTGACATATTTTGAACTTTAATTAGGAAGACAAAAGTCGGATCGGTGCATCTGGACATCAAAGGGTTATCCCTTCACAAAGCTGCAGCGGGAGAAATGTGTGCGCGTGGCAGAGATGGAGATCAGCTGATCAGCTGCAGGAGGGAGCTTCCCCCTCCACTTGTGGGCTTCACACATGGTGCAAAATCATTTAAAATAATTAATTTTAAATAAACAATCCATGGCTCATCCATCAATCCGACAGTTGTGTCATGTCCAATCTTATTTAGAAAATCTGCCATAAATGAACCGCGAAGTAGCGAGGGACTACTGTATATATAAATACTAAAATAAACTACTTGTACTACTATTCCTCCTTCGCGGTTTTTCACTTGTTGTCGGTGGACTGAGAACGGAACCCCCCACGATAAACGAGGGACTACTGTGCTCTGTCTTCTCCTCTATAAGATGATCTTAATTGAACTCTCTGGAATGAAAGCTGGTGGGAGATATGCATTCCTTCATGGATGGGAGGCCTTTAATCAGTGTCGGTTCGGGTCAGAGTGACAGGGTAAAATGCAATCTGTTCGGGAATTATTTCCTAGTCGGTGTGGTCAGGCAGGCGGCGTTATTTGTTTATAGTAAAACCAGATAATCACAGTGGAAAGCATTTTAAACTCCTGCATCTGTATTATATTTATATATATATATATATATTTGTTTGTTGCTTATTCAAATTAAATCTCTCCTAACAAGCAATCAAACTGCTTTAATTAGAAAATACTCTTCACATTTGATTTAAGCTCGGGCCTCACTTTAATGAACTGAACTGTTTTCCTCTCAGAGCAAAAAGCGCTTTGAGAGGGAGTGGAGAGAAGCAGAGCGTGCAGCACAGAACGCAGAGAAGACGGATCTGGACATCAACGCAACAAAAGCCGATGTTGAGAAAGTGAGGAGTGTGGAAAATTTACATTTCATACAAAAAGAGTTTAACACGGTTCAATCGTTCAGTGTCAGTTTTTACTTTTGTTTTTTTGCTCTGTGGTTTCAGGCCAAACAGCAGGCTCATTTTAAGGCCCAAACAGCGGAGGAGAGTAAGAACGACTATGCTGCTCAGCTCCAAAGATACAACAAAGAGCAGAGCCAGTTCTATTTTACTGACATGCCACATGTTTTCAATGTAAGACCTGTTGTGTTGCAGCAGTTTTTATTGTTGTGTTTTGGCTGGGTTGCAGAATGGCAGTGTTAACTGTTCCAAATCTTGTAGTCTTTACAGAAAAAAAAAAAAAAGTGAAGTTAATTACTTGTGTCGCTTAAAACACAATTAAATGTCTGCTTCACTAACAAGACTGGAGTCAACGTTGCTTGAGCTGCAACTTCACAAACATTTCCCGAGTATAAAAGCTTAGGCGCTAGTTTCACATCTTATTTAATGAAGCATATTGCTCATTTGCTAAATGACGGTCCTGTTTTGTGTAAACCAAACCGTAAAGCAGGAAATTTGTCCTGGCGGAGGAGTTAAAACAATATATATATAATGAAAGTTGTAGATTTCCAGTGAAGTATACGTTCGTTTAATGTTTTGTCTGCTAATGGCAGAGTCTGAGTAACCGTTTTGTTTTCTTTAGAAATTGCAGGATCTGGACGAGAGGCGAATACAGAAGTTGGCACGAGGCTACATGTTGTTCTCAGACACAGAAAAGCAAGTGATGCCCATCATTGGAAAGTGCCTGGAAGGCATTACCAAAGCTGGCACCAACGTTAATGAGAAGAATGTGAGTTTGTTTCAGAGACTGATCATATTATTTTTTTATATTTTATCATATTATTTCACTCCTAACCGCCTTCATCGTAGGACACAGCGATTGTAATAGAGCAGAACAAGTCCGGATTTGAGCGTCCTGGAGACGTGGAGTTTGAGGACTACAGCCAAGGAATCAACCGAGCCTCTTCTGACAGTAGTTTGGGTACACCTAAAGGCCCCATGGACCTTCTGGGGAGGAACAAGGGCAAAAACTTTTGGCTTTTCAACAGAAGGAGTAAGGTAGGACTTTTTATTTTGTTAAAACATGTGATGTGCCTCCACCCTAACATATTTCTACTTTGTATAAAGTGGGCAGTGAAGGAGTGAAGAAGAATACTGAATTATGGATTTTGAAATTCAAAAGTTTGGACTATAAGACGCGCTTAAAATCCTTTAATTTCACCCAAAATTGACAGTGAGCCTTATCATCCTTACATGTATGTATGGATTCTGGTTCTTACTGACCTTGAACTGATTTTATGTGACTATTGTGAATGAGTTGAATAAAGTTCGACTTATCTGACTTTTATTTGCTTAATGCACCTTATAATCTGGTGTGCCTTATAGTCCAAAAAATACGGCAGTAGTTGATTGTACATTAATATAAAAGTCATTGGCATGTCAATATATTGCATTGTTCCAATAATTCTGAACTTTGAACAAAATACAGTTAAACACAACTTGTTTTAAAGTGCAAATTCATAAATGATTTATTAGGAAATATTTCAAATATAGTAAAATACAGACTCTAAAGTTACAAGTGCTAATTCTGACCCTTTATCTTTACTAATCTAGTGACCTGCAGCAGCTCAGTCACAGCTCAGATGGTCCAGTCAGAGGGCAGATTGTTTTGTTCACTTCAGCTTTGTGACAAATTTTTTAGGCCCTCGTTCCTAAAGACACCCAAGTCTGAGCATGTCACCATTCACCTGAAAAAACGAAATCTGGTCAAATCTTTGATTTGTCTTGGACCTATTAGGCCTCATTTAAATGTTGTTGCTCAGCGTTTGAAAGACAGATACTCTGCTGCAATTCTAGTTGCTATATTATGGCTCTTTCATAAAAAAAAATCTTATTTAAAATAAATTATTATTATTATTTTTTAAATATAGTATGTCTCTTGGACCAAGAGATTTAAGCATGTTTAGCGAAAGAGTTATAATCTAAATAGGTTTAATGGTATGAATGCTTCTGAATCATTCACTCCATTGTGATCCATTTTTCTTCCGTACATTTTTTGGCATCTTTCTCGTTCCACAATTTTTGTGCTATTTCAACAAATCATAAATCAAAACGTTCAGCTCGTTCAGGATAATCGTGCTGTGACTTTTGGTATTGGTGCAACTTGAGTTTTTTAAAAATATTTAGTCTTTTCTGCCATTTTTTTTTTCTCATAGAAAATTAACTGAGATTGTTGTACATCCTTCAAATCTTTAGATCTGTTTACAACCTTTTACTGCTCCATTCACATTTTGTTCGGTTCAGCTTCTTTCAGCTTCCTTGTACAAATTTAATCTTTTTTTCAGCTAATTTCAGCTGTTTTTTCTGCTGTTTTGTACTCCTTTATACTCCTAGCAGATTCTTGCTGCTATCTACAATATTTGTTATGCTTCTTCTAATTTATTTCTGCTAATTTCAGCTTGTTATGCTCCTTTCAGCTCATTTCTGCAAGTTTCAGATTTGTCTGCTATTTCAACTACTATTTACTGTAGCTGTTTTTATGCTAATTTTAGCTAATTCCACATTTTTGCACTCATTTAAACTTTTTTCAGCTTAGTTTAACTAAATTGTGCTTCATTTTTCATTTTTAGCTACTTTTCATCTGTTCTTTTTAAACATTTTCCCTAATTTAAGCTTTGTTCAGGTAATTTCCACTTTTTTCTCATTTCTGCTTCTTTCAGCCTAATTGGGCAAACAGGTTCTTTCTGCTTTGTTCTTTTAATTTAAGCTTGTTCTAACTTTTCAGCTAGCTTTTTAGCATTTATTTAGCTAATTTAAGCTGTTTTCAGATTACGGGAATTCATTGTTTTTCTTTGTAATTTTTGCTACTTTCAGCCAAATTAACTTCTTTATGCTAATTAAGCTTGTTATGCTCCTTTCAGCTTATTTCTGCAAGTTTCAACATATTTTTGCTATTTCAACTACTATTTAGCCGTTTTATGCTAATTTTAGCTAATTTCACATTTTTGCACTCATTTAAACTTTTTTCAGCCTAATTTAGCTAAATTGTTCTTCCTTCTGCTAATTTAAGCTTCTTTTTTTTCCAACTTTAGCTACTTTTCATCTGTTTTTTTTTCTCTCCTAATTTCAGCTTTTTTTCAGGTAATTTCCATTTTTTTCTTCTCATTTCTGCTTCTTTCAGCCTAATTGGACAAACGTGTTCTTTATGCTTTGTTCTTTTAATTTAAGCTTGTTCTAACTTTTCAGCTAGCTTTTTAGTATTTTTTTTAGCTAATTTAAGCTGTTTTCAGATTATGGTAATTCATGTTTTTCTTTGTAATTTTTGCTACTTTCATCCTAATTAACTTCTTTATGTTAATTCAAGCTTCTTATGCTCCTTTCAGCTTATTTCTGATAGTTTCAGCTTTCTCTGCAATTTCAGCTGCCATGTAGCTGGTTTTATGGTAATTTTAGCTTTTTCATGTAATTCCACATTTTTTTAGCTTGTTGGAGCTCTTTTTGCTTTAATCTGGTAATTTAACCTTCTTTCTACCAATTTCAGCTTTTTTTTGCTTGTTTCCTAATTTTTGTGCTCATTTCTGCTTATTTAAAGCTAATTCAGCAAGTGTATTCTCTCTGCTTTCTTCTGCTAATGGTTTGTTCTTACATTTCAGCTACATTTTAGCATGATTTTTTTTAGCTAATTTTAGCTGTTTTTCAGCAAGTTATTCTGCAACAAGTGTTTATGCTGCATTTTCGCAGGAAATGCAAGTGTTCTAGTTTTTAGCTGTTTTTTATTCATTGCTGTTTGCTCTACCACAGCTTTATGTACAGTTAATGTGTTTAACTAGCAGTCGTTTGGTTTTTGTCTTATTATTTGAACGTACTTTGCTCTTGTTTGTCACTTCCTGAAGATTTTCCCAGTCACTCTCATTTGAACTTTACATTACCGTCTTTGTCGTCTCGTTTTCTTGCCTGCAGCTTCTTAATCAATCACACCTTTCAGTTTCCATACGCACTCTTTTTTTCTTTTGTTCTCTGCCAGATTCTTTGGTGACGTTCTGTAATCATTTCCTGCTCTGTATCAAGTTTTGTACTCGTCTCCGTTTTCACATCAAGTCGTTTTATGTGTTGTGAATTTATATCTGAACTTTTAGCTTCTCTTTGTCATCGTCCTTGGTTTTGTTCTGTAAAATAAACATATGTTTTTTTGTTTTTGCCTGTCTTCCTGCGTGTTTAGTCTTGGATTTGGGTCCTCCTCCTTCATGTGAAGTGACACTTTCTGATGCATAAAACAAATGCATGACGATGCTCCAATACTTTACAGCTTAAATGTTTTAATTTGGTTGAGCTGCTTTGAAAAAGAGCAACAATACAACAACTGGAATTGCAGCAGAGAAACGTATTTTGTTGTCGTTGGAAATGTTTTACAGGTCCTAAAAGTGACTAAATTTAAATTTCTTTCTATTCATCACTCTTTGTTTTTCAGGAACCAAATTAAGGAAGCAGTTAAGATGGTTAGACAGCTGCGTTTCAGTCGTTAAAGTTTCGAGATGTGAAAACTGAGCAAGAACTTGTACTCATAACCTGAAAGTCACAAACACTGTTAAATGTTTTCAGAGCAAACTTTTCCACAGTTTTCTGTTTTGTATATGTCAACAGATGTTGACTGATAACACTTCAGTACCCTCGATGTTTTTGTGAAACGGGCATTTTTTTTTTTTTTTTCCAGTGAATGCAAATTCATTACACACATGCACAAAGTTGAATTTCTTACTTGTATTTTATTCACAAGGCAACAGTTTAATTTCCAACTTAAAGCTTTATTATGCTGTAAATGTTAAAATAAAAACACTAATGTCCTAGATAAGATCAGATAAGATAAGTCATGACTTCTTGCCTGGCAGAGCTGGAAACGGTGCACGTGTGGTGAAGCTGTAGGTAATAAATATACAATAACGCATGAGCCATTCTCCTCTCAATATAAGTGACCACATTCAAAAACCTCGAGCTTTTCAGACAAGTTTTGTTGCATGACTGTCCCTGGCTGTGAGCGATTAAACACCCCCCCCCCCCCCCCATCCTTATACATCTTCCTCATTTCTTCATAGTGGTTTCCAATCGTTCAACCGACAGCCAGCGTTCTGCTGCTTGTGCTTTGAGCAGCACAAGACCCAAACATTGAGTTTTCCCTCCACAGCCCCCCACCCCACCCCCAATCCAACCTGCTGTTAGGTGTCGCATCATCTTTTTGCCTACATCAGAATGACACCAGGTTTGTAATGCCAGAAATGATTGCGTTTGCTCTTTAGTTTTAGTTTTTTGTGTGTGTGCAAACCACCTACTATGTCGTAATAAAACTGCAAGCGCACTAGTTTTGAATTCAACCAGTTTCATGGGTGGCTGACTGCTAACCAGCTCATGGTCCACTCCTCCAGGCCCAGGACTTAATGATCCTTTCCTTCTTCCCTGCGGTGTTTGCTTGTTCAGCATGCCTTTTTTTTTTTTTTTTTTTTCTGCACGTCTTACTAGCTGCGTTCTGCTGTGCACGCTTCCTGTTTTGTGTGTGTGCGTGCGCATATGTGTGTGTGTGGCACAGAACTCTGTGTCATCAGTCAGGCTCTCCCAATTAGGCTTTAGAAGTATGTGCGAACAGGAGACTGGCTGTGTACTGGTTTGAGTAAGCTCAGTTCAAGTCTGGCCACTGAACATTCCTATTAACTTCTCTCCTCTACTTAGAGCTCCATAACTCTTGGGACGAGTAGCACTAAAGTAGTACATGTTCGTGTAATAACAGTCCTGCGCTTCAAACTCTCAGTATTTACACATGGGAGCTTGTTGTGAGGCCGTTTTAGACACTGTATTGAAGGCTAGACGCCATCAGCCTCCTGTGTAATTTAGCTAATGGACCTTCCAGAATATTTATGTAGTTCTGTGCAGATATGTTGTCAGGTTAAGAACTCTAATACAGGCTGTTTGCCCAGCCCCAAAAATCCATCCTCACAATCCCACTGTGGTAATTCAGCAGGCTATTTATAACAACTGTACTGGTTTAATAGCTGTAGGGCTGTTTATGTGGGTCAGTCTCAGGGTTCTGCTGCTTAAATTTTAAACAGATTTTCTCTTGCTGAATTTTTCACAAGGATATTTTTACGATATGGATATTGCCTTGTATTGGCTGTTTAAAAATCTTTTTTCACTGTGGAAAATTGCAATCCTAAAAAGTTTAGAGCGTAACTCTGAAAATGGTTATAAACAAATCTGATTATTGTAAACCGTATCATTTTCCAAACGAGCAAACACAAGAACTTTTAATTGCTGAAAAGGGTCATATAAAGCTTATTTAGCATAGTTTGCTAAAATTGAGCAACATCAATGTGTTTTTTGTGCCTTTCTTATGATCCTCATTGGGGCTCACTCTGGCTTTATGTTTGAGTTTTGCTGCAAGTTTCAAGCTGCTGGTTGATCACTGTGGAGTTCACTTATTTTTATTTTTGAGTCTGCTCATCCCATGGAAACACATCCACACAACTCTTTAAGTTCATCTTGAGTTTTTGAGCTGAAGCTAACCGACTTTATTTTTCGGTTGTTAATGATGATGACTTTTGGACTTTTTTTAAAACGGATTTTTTTTATTTTTTACTTTATGTTCGAAAGACAATTAAAAAAAATTGATATTATCATGAAATTATTGCATGAAATTGTTGCCTAAGTGGTTTGTAAAGAATATCTTTAAAAAAAAACAACCTCTTCAATCAAGTTAAAATTAGATTAATTTTGTTAATTGGCAACAGGCCAATAAGAGAACTGATTATAAATAAAGCTTTTTTTAAGAGGCTTGTCATCTCGGAAGTAAAGATGAGCAGTGGTTCAAAGGAAAAACGGCATCTATTGGTAAACATCAACAACAAAAAAACCCTCTGTCTTGTCAAAGCTCCAAAAATTCACGGTTGAAACCCGTGCCTTCGTCTAAAAAGTTGTTTTTCTCTGCAAAAAGAAGCTGAGAACTTGTTTACTGTTTTTTTTAATTAAAAGCTTTGTGTGACAAATGCTATGCTAAAGAGCTCAAACCACACCAAGCGTCCACCATTTTGAGAACCGAAAAACAGAAATGGGAGACAGCCCATGTCACGTCAATGGGCCTCCCTCCCATTTTTCTTAGAGACACGCTGCTAGCTCCCTCACTATCCATCCTTCGGTTCAAACAGTCTTATGCTGACATCCAGTGGTCAAAAAAGGTACTAGACACAAAAATTAACCAACATTTCTTCTTAAATTTGACCATAATTACTAATTACTAATTATGGTCAAATTTCAAATAATATTTTTGTTTATCGCAATAATTTCTGAGACAATTAATCGCCCAGCAAAATTTATTATCGTGACAGGCCTAATTATGAACATCACTGCCTGGACCCAGAAACACTTCCTCAAATCATTGTTAGTGCATGCAGTTCACTGTGCCATCCTCAAATCCAGTTCTATCATGCAAAGAAAAAACGTTAAGTGAACTCCATCCACAAACACCACCATCTTCTCGGAGTCATGATGCTCATTTAAAGTTAACTGGAATAAAAGGGGAAACTGTTCTGCAGTCAGATGGGAGAAAATTAGAAATTATTTTTGGAAACAACGGACCCCACGTCTCTGTATCGAAAGGAGAGAGACCATCCAACCTGTTGTCAGTGCACAGTTCAATAGCCTGCCTCTATGATGGGATGAGGGGGCATTAATGCCAATGACAATGTCAGACTTTACACATCTGGAAAGGCACCACCAATGCAGAAAAGTATACAGTAGTCCCTCTTACTTCACGGTTCGACTTTTATGGACTCGCTCTTTCATGGTTTTTCAAAGTAAGATTGTACACAACAACAAAAAATAAGGATTGCACACGACACACGATTGTCAACTATTATTCACGTGACTGGGACTGGGGAGTGGTGGCGCAGAGGTTAGAGAAGGTGGGCCTGTGATCGGAAGATCGCCGGTTCAAGCTCTGGTACCGACATCAAAAATGTGAGTGGGGTAGGTGAAGCACCCACACCTGCCCCCACCTTCATTTGTCACACTCTGGGCCCTTGAGCAAAGCCCTTAACCCCCACCATCTGCTCTTCCGGGTGTCCTAGATAGCAGCTCTCTGCTCCACACAGAGGGCTGTGATAGCTTGGTGGTCTGTGGTTGCATCAGGAAGGGCATCCGGCGTTAAAATAACTGACAAGTCTTCGTTCACTGTGGCGACCCCTAATGCAGGGAGCAGCCGAAAGGGAAAAAAATAGAATAAAAATTCACGTGACTGGGACAGTATGGGATACAGTAAAAAGTTAACAAAAAATAGTTTGAACAGGCGCTGCCATTTTCTAGTTTTCTCTCAATAAGTCTACACAGTAAGGCCAGTCAAAAGGACTACATTACCCAGAAGCCAACAGTGCTTCCAGCCATTGCTTTCTGCTGAAATGCAGGGAAATTTTTGATCCGATCCGGAAAAAATTTGGTCCTTGTTCATAGTGACTTCGACACTCAGTGGATGCAGAGAGTCGACCAGAACCAAACTAGAACTGGACCAGGACTACTTCCAGCTTCATCAATCAATCTGAATGCTGCTTGCCGGCCCAGGAAGCCTCTCAAGTGGGGAGACGTTGCTTGGAGGTCCGATGTCTTCTTCGGAGCTCACCGGGACTTTTTTCATCCTTATCCCTCTGGATTATTTGGATTCACTCGGGACCATTGTGTGGTTTTGTGCTGGCTCTCTGAAGGTCTGTCTCGCTCTAAAAGCATCTTGATGCTCAACGGCTGCAGAGAGCCAGTCAGAACCGGACCAAGACTGTTTAGTACCCGTATAAAATTTTGCAGTACGTAGCTACTGTGCAGTACATATACAAATACATATGTTAAAGTTGCATAGAACGAGGGACTACTGTATATAGATTCTAAAACAACCTGTGCTCCCATTCAGATGGGTCTTTGTTTAAAGAAGGTCTTGCATATTTCAGTAAGACATTGCTAAACCGCATGCTGCGCCCATTCCAGCAGCATGGCTTCATAGTGGAAGAGTCCGGGCGCTGAACTGGTCTGCCTGCAGTCCAGACTTCTGACCAAATAAAAACCTTTGACACATCACGAAACAAAAAAAAAAAAAAAAAAAAAAAAATTCCTGCAATGAAAACCAAGGACTGTTGAACATCATGACCTCAAACAAGACTGAAACAATATTCTCATACAAACAATCCAGCAACTGGTCCTCTCAGTTCCTAGATGTTTGGATCTGTCTCCACTTTTCTGTTATGTGCTGCAGACATGAAGTAGAATACATTTTTAGAAAGTTTTCTAAAATAATTGACTGTTCCATGCGTTTGCATGGAATGGGCCTTTTTTAACAATAAGAGTGATGTTTGTTTTTATGTTCTTTGAGCTTGTGTGTTGGGTTTGTGTTGTCTTCCATGCATTGTGGTGCGCTTTAAGGTGTTGATGGTGTCTTTTTCTTTCCTTTGTCACCATGTTTGGTTTTTGTTTTTGTCTTCCTTGTTCCCCTGTTCTCTGTTGTCCCCACCTCCCCCTCTCTCCCTCATACACCATCTCATACCTGCATACTCGATTATCGGGTGCTGGTACTTTTGCCCAACCCCAGCTCTCCTCCACACTCGGTCCTTTCTTCACACACCCTGACGCTTCACCCTCTAATGGATCCCATTCCCCCAAGTTTGGCCGGGACTCCCTGTCGCACTGTTTGAAGGAGATCAATAAGTCAGTCAAACCCAGAATCTCTTCCTTCAGGACACTCAAGAGATCGGTGAGTGACAAGAGGAGTTGATTCGGGTACTAGGACACCTCCACTATTAAGCCGCTTCTCCATTGTTGAGTCTAATCGCTTCATTTCTATTCAGTTCTTCAAATGTGTGTGTGCCCCTCACTCAGTGGGTGGGATTCTCTGGGCATGATCAGCAGCGCAAAGGGGGCAGTCGTCAGATTTCTTTTTTTTTTTTAATGGTTTCAACATTTTTTATTAGGGATGCACCGAGCCACGTTGTTCACTTCTGTTATCAATACCGATATCTGATGTTTAGTATTGGTCGATACCAATCTGATGTCGATCAATACAGAAAAAAAATGCTGAATTAACTTAACTTAAAAAAAACAAAAAAAAAACGCAGACATAAATGTACTGAATTACAAATTTATTGCAAATCTGCACCAGTACACCACACTTCAACACACCAATAGCTTCACTAGCTTAGTTGGCAGATATTTAAAATAAATGGCAATCGGCTCCTGTCCTTATGGATCGGTCACATTGTCACCGATACCCGATCCAGAATTATTTCCGATATCTGTAATGATACCGATATTAACATAGGATCGGTGCACCTCTACTGAGCGTAGCCGTGGGTGGCCAGTTTTTCAGACACATCCTGGTACACTCGTTAGTTCCTCGTGGCTCCGTCGAGCTCGCACTGTATGCGCTCGTCAGCCAAAATGGGTATAAAGGTTTGCACCTCATCATCGGTCATGGGATTACATGGGATTTGCAGCTCGCCACCTCTGTCTTGGGAAAGTACGCTCTGTAACAATCAGTTTGAAAATGGCACCTCATGAGGAGTTTGAAAGTGCAGCCTTGACTCATGGGGCCAATCGACGGGATGCTGTTTGCTGACGTCAAAATCGCTTGCTCAGCTCAGCTGAGCTCGCTTGGAACCACGGCTGAAGCAGATCCAAAAACTGAGCGGGACAGGTAATGGAGACACAATTGGCCGATGCTGAGTTGATGCGAACTGATAAAAGCCGTGGAGAAGCGGCTTTAGTGGCTTGTTTCTGTCCAAAAGTTGCTAAACTCCTCAAACAATTAACTGATTTTACATGTTTAAACTAACATTAGATTTTTTTCAAGCGGATGTGGGTTAAAATAAAGGAAGCTCAATGTTTGACAAGAAACATTTGTTTATTTTTTTTTTACATGTATTGTTTCTTTTTGCCCCCCCAGAAATTTACCCCAGACAAGGTCATGGTACTGTAATATAATTCCAACGCTGGTGTGGGGTTCTCACTTGTTTGACACACAAACACGGGCACTTATTCTGTAGTTTTCCTTCTCTAATGTTTCTGTGCTCCAAGAAAGTCTTTTTAAGTTTAAATGGAAGAGGTGGCCATCTGGTGGTGGAGGAAGGGCGGATGCTGGTTGACACAAAGGAAGCTGAACAACAAAAAAAAACAGATTTTCTGTGCACTTTGGCTCCTAACTTTTCCCATTCATTCCCTTTTATAATTATTGATTTATTGTTTAGTTTTTTTTCTTTTCTTAAAAAGTTAAAACTCTACAAACTTATAATGGGTGCTACATTGTATTTGCCAGTACATGGGTGAAGGTTTTGTGTTCAGCTCACTGATAATCTGCTCATCCCTGGCTTTTTATTAATTCAAACCCTACAAGTGATTGAAAACTTGTTCAACTGTATCTTTTGAGCTGATCTCAAACCACAGTCTTGGTGTTTCTCATCAGTTTGCCTGTTTCTTTTGCTTTTGCTGATAAAATTCTTTTGAAAATGTTAAATTTTTTGTGCTAACCCGCCCTTCCTGTGATTTTGCACAGCCCACGGTGACAGAAGACTTTGGCCATCTTCCGCCAGAACAGCGCAGGAAAAGGTTACAACTGAAATTAGAGGAAATTTCCAAAGAGTTGCAGAAGGAAGTAGATCAGAGGTGTGTATTTGTGTGTATTTGTGTGTATTTGTGCGCATTGGTAACAACGTGAGAGTTTCTCTTCAGGAAATGTGGATACAATATTCATGCAGTGTAAACAACTCTGTGTTCTCTGTGTGTATCTGAATTGTTTACCCACCCCTGAGCTCTGCAGGGAGCAGAGTTTCTCCAAAAGTCACTTTTACTTCTCCTTGCTCTTGTTGCCGTCTTTTCTTTTCTCCACTTAGTGAAGCACTCGGAAAGATGAAAGATGTTTATGAGAAAAACCCTCAAATGGGAGATCCGGCTACTCTTGCATCCCAAATCAGTCAGACGTCTCAGAACATCGAGCGGCTCAAAGGAGAGATGAGCAAGTATGAGGTAATTCTCCCCCCTGTTGTTTATTCATAATATACAGGCGTCTATTTATAATGATAACAAAATTACACAAAACTGCCTCTCACTGAAAAGTAAAGGGGGACAATGCTTTTGCCTTGTCTTTGTATGCGTGTGTGTGTGTATGTCTATCTGTTTACAAAATATCTCATCAACCACTGGATAAATCTTAATGACTTTTGCCCAAAATAGTCTGTGGTTGCACAACTATTTGCATGACTTTTAAGCTTTACCCTATTAAAAATGGCTTCCACAGTCAACTGACGACAGAAAACACTAACTTGCCTTTAGCTCGGTCAATTTTACAAATCCAATTTGTAGCTCAGACTGATAGCACACATTTGAGCCCTAAAGGTCTTTGTTTAAAACTTTGCTATTGGCGATTTGTAGTGAACTCTGTTAGCAAAGCATCTCATAAATTACTGGATGTATTTTAATGAAACTTATAGGGAACAAGTGGATGTACCTCTACAACTGATTACCTTTTGGAGCCAATTCAAGATGGCTGCCATATCCAGCTGACCTTTTAATAATATACTCAAAAGGCTATCATTTACCGTATTTTTCGGACTACAAGGCGCATTAAGCGAAACAAAACAGTCAAATAAGTCAAACTTTATTAAACTCATTCACAATAACCACATGTATTAATTCTGGTTGTGCTTACTGACCTCAAACTGATTTTATAAGGCGCAATGGATTATAAGGCTCACTATTGATTGTTTTTCAGAAAATTAAAGGACTTTAAGTGCGTCTTATAGTCTGAAAAATACGGTAGTCATTTTACAGATATTATGCCACAGTTTGAAGTGCTTATAGCTGAGAGTCCTTCAACATGTACTCTGACATTTTGTTAAATTGCACAAAATGGCACGTAATATTTTCAAGGTTTGATCAATAGAGTTACAACTCTCATTTGTAAGTGCATTTAACGCATTAAGCACATTTTTATTCTTCTTTTCTCCCTTTTTATCAAGAATTGGTTGACAGAAGCTGGAGCTCGAGGTGAAACAATGCGATATAAAACCCACACTTTTAACAATAACGGTGCTCATGATGCGCTCAGGTAAGATTATTTCTTCCAGCAGAAAAAATAATGCTTGAAACTAAATCAGGTTAGTTGTGCGAAGAAAGTATTGTTTATTTGTTTGCTTGCTTTTCCAGCCCTGATGGAGCTCATTCTGATGAAACTCCTGCTGATTCTTCCCAAGCCATCTATGCCGAGTTTGATGATGATTTTGAAGACGAGGAACTAGCAGCTCCTATAGGAAGATGCACAGCCATGTACAGCTTCCCCGGTACGTTAGTGTTTCAACGACCATATTTTCTGACATAAAAGTCGCATCAGTCCAAAAATGTCTAATAAAGTGGAAAAAACATAAATAAGTGCAATATTATTCGGCCCCTTTACTTTCAGTGCAGCAAACTCACTCCAGAAGTTCATTGAGGATCTATGAATGATCCAATGTTGTCCCAAATGACTGATGATGATAAATAGAATCCACATGTGTGTAATCAAGTCTCCGTATAAATGCACCTGCTCTGTGATAGTCTCAGGGTTCTGTTCAAAGCAGCATCATGAAGACCAAGGAACACACCAGGCAGGTCCGAGATACTGTTGTGGAGAAGTTTAAAGCCAGATTTGGATACAAAAAGATTTCCCAAGCTTTAAACATTCCTAGGAGCACTGTGCAAGCAATCATAGTGAAATGGAAGGAGTATCAGACCACTGCAAATCTACCAAGACCCGGCCGTCCCTCTAAACTTTCATCTCGAACAAGGAGAAGACTGATCAGAGATGCAGCCAAGAGGCCCATGATCACTCTGGATGAACTGCAGAGATCTACAGCTGAGGTGGGAGAGTCTGTCCATAGGACAACAATCAGCCGTACACTGCACAAATCTGGTCTTTATGGAAGAGTGGCAAGAAGAAAGCCATTTCTCAAAGATATCCATAAAAAGTGTTGTTTAAAGTTTGCCACAAGCACCTGGGAGACACACCAAACATGTGGAAGAAGGTGCTCTGGTCAGATGAAACCAAAATCCAACTCTTTGGCCACAATGCAAAACGATATGTTTGGCGTAAAAGCAACACAGCTCATCACCCTGAACACACCATCCCCACTGTCAAACATGGTGGTGGCAGCATCATGGTTTGGGCCTGCTTTTCGTCAGCATGGACAGGGAAGATGGTCAGAATTGATGGGAAGATGGATGGGGCCAAATACAGAACCATTCTGGAAGAAAACCTGTTTGAGTCTGCAAGAGACCTGAGACTGGGACGGAGATTTATCTTCCAACAAGACAATGGTCCAAAACATAAAGACAAATCTACAATGGAATGGTTCACAAATAAACGTATCCAGGTGTTGGAATGGCCAAGTCAAAGTCCAGACCTGAATCCAATCGAGAATCTGTGGAAAGAGCTGAAGACTGCTGTTCACAAACACTCTCCATCCAACCTCACTGAGCTCGAGCTGTTTTGCAAAAAAGAATGGGCAAGAATTTCAGTCTCTCCATGTGTAAAACTGATAGAGACAAACCCCAAGAGACTTGCAGCTGGAACTGCAGCAAAAGGCGGCGCTACAAAGTATTAACACAAGGGGGCCGAATAATATTGCACGCCCCACTTTCAGTTTTTTTATTTGTTAAAAAGTTTGACACATCCAATAAATTTTATTCAACTTCACAATTGTGTCCCACTTGTTGTTGATTCTTCACAAAAAAATTAAAATTTTATATTTTTATGTTTGAAGCCTGAAATGTGGCAAAAGGTTGAAAAGTTCAAGGGGGCCGAATACTTTCGCAAGGCACTGTAAATGCTCTTTAATGCTCAAATCAGCTGCATTTCGTTCGCCTGGGCGGTGCAGCAAAACTCAGCTAATTTGACGTTTGCTCCAGGAGTTCCAGAGAGAGACAAAGGTGGCTTAGCCAAGTGTCTCATTAATCGCCACTTTTACCTATTAATGAGACATTTGGCTTGCCTTAAGACTTAAGGGCCCTCTAGCGGCTGCAAATGGTAGTGTTCAATATTTTTCATGTCAGAATGAATTAAATCATCATATCTAAGCCAAAAATTTTATTATAAATCTGGGGAAAAACCATATATTAGTCGATTCGATGTATAAGTCGCAGAAGTTGCAAATTTATGTAAAAAGGTGCGACTTGGGGAAAAATAAGGTAAGTGGTTTATTTTCTAAATCAACGTAGCTTGATTTCTAATACAAGTTACAGACTTTGGCACTATGACAGTAAATTCACTGACCAGTCGGAGTGCATTTCAGAACTATTCATTCAGTTTCCCCCTCATAGTTCTGTAAACTTGTTTTAAAGTGTCACATGGATTTCTCTTGTCAATCTTTTTCCCCTCTCAGGTGCGAGTGAAGGAACCATCTCTATGCAGGAAGGGGAAGTGCTGGCTGTGGTAGAAGAGGATAAAGGGGACGGTTGGACTCGTGTGCGAAGGAACAATGGAGATGAAGGCTACATACCTACATCTTACGTCTCCATCGCTCTAAACAAATGAGGAAGAAGAAACAATCAGGTCAACTCTTCCTGAAGCTGTTCGCAGCTCTTCCCTTTGTACCGATCAGGAAGAAGCACGTGATGAATAGGAAAGACTGCCAGAGGATTCAGAACTGCTTTGATTTGATGAAAGAGGTGCCCTCTGTATGCAGAGGAGTGGTGCATAAATGTAATTCCAGTTACCCACTACAATAACTGCAGTTATTTCTCATTTTACCAAGTCCCATAGTCTCGTTATTTGCACAGTTTTGGTGCAAGAGCTTTTCTCGTTCCTGAATGCGAGAGAAGGTGATGGAAGAGAAGGAGCGCCGCTGCTAAGTCTGAACACCTTTGATGCTTAAGATGACGTTACCTCGCTTGTTTGTGTCTTCAGGTAAAAACCGAGCAGCTCTAACCCACTGCAGCAGAGCTCAGAATTTATGACCCCCTTTCTTTTCATTTGTCCGTTGTCTCAAGTGTGCCACGTTTCCATTTGCGATGCCACTTGAGTGTCCTCTATATTTTGTACCAAGAACTTTTCACTCTTTTCATTTGTTGCAATTTGTGGGGCTCGGCAGCGCGGAGAGCTCTCCTGTCACGGTGACAGACACACACAAAAAAAGACCGTATACAAAACTCTTCAACGTTCAGACAATCACAACCGTATCGTTTAATTTCAGACCTTTAGCAATAAATTTCAGCAGCTGTTGGTGCATTTTACATCTGTTCAAAAATAACATCTGCTGTTTTGTACTAGAAATTGTACTGAAGATAATTTATTACAAAAGTGTGATTTATTTTGAAAAAGAGTTGTGCTTTGAATGCAGGTTGTTCGGACATTGCTTTTTCTCCTTGCACAAACCGTGGACTGTCTTTAGCCACAAAGGGAGTAAAAATTGTACACTTAAAATAAGTTGTATTTATATAATATATATTTTAGCTACAACAACACCACTATTGTCTTATTAGCTTTTAACCATTCAAATAAAGATTGTTTATAAGAAAAAAACAAAAGTACATAATAATGTTGATAATTATGTTTATTTCTATACATAGTTCACAAGTCGATCATTGTAATATTTTCTAGCGTTGTTAACGGCACAAGTGAGATTATTATAACCATTCTGGTAAATACTTGTGTGTCTTTGGTGCCTTTTTGGGTGAAACAGTTGTGCAAATATACCATTTGAATACAAGTTATTTTTTCCAACACTTACTAAGTGTAATGCACATTTCAGTTTTAGAGTTATGTAACCTCTGGACATGAAAAATAAATAATTGAAATGCAGATAGTCATATGTGATTTGTGTATGCAAAGTAATTTAATACATGCAGACTGAAGACAAACAATTAAGGAAATGTAAAGAAATTAGTCACTACCTCAATTGCTTTTTTTAAAAAGAGTCGAGACCAATTTAAAATGGTTGCTGTAGCCAAATGATCTTAAAAACCAAAAGAAGAATAAAACTCAGTTTAACATGTATTGACCCAAATTTGTTGGTGTCATAGCTGAGGATGATCAGCGGAACATGTTCTGAACTAACGAGCTGTGATTTAAAACTGCATGTAGAGCAGATTAGCAGTTGGGGCCAACAAAACACAACTCAGTAGGTGGCAGTGTTGCATCATTTCTTAAATCTTTCATCTCTTCATAATTACTTTTGCAATTTAGGTCATGCATTTGCATACCTGATTAAATCGCATTGGCTTCAAAACAATACGATTTCTAATAACTAATTAAATAACCCTGACTTGGAGAGTGCCCCACTTTATTATTGCATTTGTCATAGCAAAAGTCAAGAGAAAAGACGTTGAAACTTGGTTCCTATCGAGGTTTAAAATAAAAATATTTTCAAAGGGAATAAACAATCGAGAGAAGTGATGATCTGTTGAACAAAGGAAGAATCCAGCGTTGGCTTGTGACACCAGCTGACTGAGGGATCTGGGCTTTATATGCAATATTCTACATCTAGATGAGTTAAAGGTCATCTTTTCAATAAGTCTACAGGATGCCGCTGACATCCTGCACCTGCCTACAGCTGGGAGGCAGCGCTGCATCCTGGGATCTCGACCCACCGCAGTGAGGAGATTAATGCGGAAATACACACGGATCGCACAGAGAAGAATAAAAGAGCTGTTTCAGTCTGCTGGGAGTTCATCTTTTATGCATATTGCACCCCTGGCTACACCCCCGATCTGCTGCAAAAATTCTTATTTTAGGCAGTGCATTGGCTTTATAGTGGCCTTTGTGAATTATTAAAGAATGACATTTTAAAACGGATAATAAAGATGACCTGCTTTGACCAAATATACAGTAAAGGTACGACAATATTGGATCAAGGAGATGTGGGTTTTTAAATGTCAGTGCAGAAAATCATTGTGCTCCACAGAAAGCTGAGCCAAGCTCAACAGATCGACGTTATGCACTTAGATTCTTGTTTGCTTAATTAATAAGTTCAAACTATTCTTGTAAAAATGAACACAAAACAGTGATACGATTGGGTTTTTCTTGGTTTCTTTTGTAAATTAAAACGTTTTCTCTTTGTCCTCGAGTAAAAGGCTGTCTCCCACTCTGCAGTATCAAACAAAACAAATAAGAATATACTTTTCATAAGTGATTGAAAGGATTTTGGTGGAATAACTTGGCCTTTCATGAGTCTCTAATAGAAAATACAAGTGGTGTTGAGCTTAAAAATAAAAGCTTTTATCTTAGCAAACCAAAAGAAAAAGAAATTTAATGGTCCTCACCTTCCACCTAATTTTATGGCTCAATGGTTATTAAACTAATAAACAACAGAATAATCAGCAGCAATTTTTTTCAGCCCAATTAAAGCAGCGCTTGTACAGAAATAAAAGCTTCTCTAAACTTCTGGCTGGAATTCACTAACTATCTCCACAGGAGTTGGAAGTATTGAAGCCCCTTTATTAAGGTGGGCGCTGTTACAAAATAAGCAATTATTTCTCTGTCTAACTCACCACAGGTGTTGGAGGATCTAAGAAATCAATCTTCCAACACTCGCTGCAGGACAAAAAAAGACGCATATTGAAGAAAACCTTCAGGCTTTTCAGAACCGCGCTGGAGTCATAATGGCATAATGGTAGTTTTCCAGAAGGAAGAAGAAATGTAAAATAAAAAAAAAACCCTAAAAGGTTAGTAAGAGAATTTAAAAAATAGATTAAATTCAGGCAAATAATAGAGTTGAACCTTATTAATTAAAATAGCCATCAAATTTTGCATGTACTGAAGGATCTATATGATAGATTAAAATCCCTTAGATTATTCTCTGCCTCCTGTTCGTCGCTGCATCATTCTTGAGTTGAATGCTCTCCCGGTTTATCGCTTCTGTCTTTGCACACTCGTCCTGCTGAAGCTTGTTCTGAAGCCACGCCGGTGACATCCTGCATATGTGAACCCAACGAACCTTTAATAAGCCCGGAAAACCAAATTATTGTTTGTACTGAGCTTTACTCAACAGAAACAGTAAGTTTTATTATTCACATATACGTTGTTAACACATGGGAGCACCATCCATACATTATCTTTACCCACTTTTTCCTTATCGGGTGGCGGGTGTCACTGGTGTAAATATCCAGCAGTCACTGTGCAAGAGGTTGGATACACCCTGGACAGGTCTCCAGTCCATCACAGGGACACACGGAGACGATCACTCTCTCACTCACACCTAGGGACAATTTAGAGTTACCAATCTGTCTAATTTAGGGAGGAAACCGTTGTACCCGGGGAAAACCCATGTATGCACAGAGAGAACATGCAAACACCACCCTAAATGGTGGCAGCTTTACCAGCTGCGCTATCGTGCCGCCCAAAGGGAGCACCATGTCACCGGTAATTAATACAATTGCAAGACTGAATTAGTTCATCTTTCACATGCCTTCCACAATTTTCATTAAAGTATGTTATTACATGTAAATAATTCCACCAAAGAGTTTCTGTACAAAGATAGTTTTGCAGCAACAATCGCTAAAACTTTTTGGGAATAACGTGAAAGCATTCAATACTGAAACCTGAACAATGACCTTTATTTAACTATGGAAATGTAGAGGACTACTTCACAACAAGCTCCTTTATAATAAAGTGTTTATTAATGCTGTACAAGTTCTTACATTCTTATTAACAACCAATTTATAAAATATTTATTATAGCTACTTACAAATGTTTTTCACGAGTTGTTAAACGCTTCATGAAGCATTTATGAAATATTATAAAATGGCTATAAAACACTGTTCGTACACTGAGGCATACTCGCCATTTTGCACTTATATTCATTTCTTAATTAAATAGATACTACTTTCAAGCATTTGTCAACAATTTATCTGAACGTAAGCATCTATAGAGGAAAAATGTTATTTTGGGGTTGCATAAAGTTATTTATTTAAATGTAAGCCAAGCAACAAGCAATAATTTACATTTGACTAAACATATAAAAGCACTTGATCTTGCCAAATAGCGAGATTGCTTCAGTGTATGAACAATGTTTCATAACTTTAAGAAACGATTGTTAATGCTTTATGAAATATTTACAAACCTAAATAATCCATTTATGAATCATTTATAAAGGAGTCTTTATTTTGAAGTGGTACCAAACATTTTTAAAACCATGTTTTGACAATAATTATGCTCTTATAAAATCAATCTTAAGGAGAAGGCCATAAAATGTAACGATGGTAGGCAAAATGTTTTTCCGAAAGCATAATTGATCTGTTTGATTTGGTTAAGATGTAAACTCTCAGTTTTAAGTTTTAAAGGAATCCCAATAAAATATTTTATCTTGGTTTTTCCTTCCTACAAACAAGGAAATGAAGACGATACTTTTTTCGAGGAAGACTAACAGTAACTGTGAAGGATCTTTCTTCTGTCATCACGTCATAAAATCCCTGTTGATTTGAAATGTCATTTTTTTCTGATTTCCTCAAAGCTCTTAAATGTTCTTTGACTAGCAAAACACATCTTACAATGAAGATGTAATTTATTCGCAGACCGCTCGTTCTTCGAGCTCTGGCCGACCTTTCGGGGACGCGACCTTTTGTTCTCATCCAGACAACAAAATGAGAGACGAACAGACCCGATGAGTCACAGCGATGTCCTGCATGCTGCTGCCATGTTGCTCCAACAGAAATGATTTTTAAAATTCCGTCATGATTTACAGGATATTGGTAGATTAACTTATGCCACATGACTAAGCTACAACATGTGGCTACATTTTTCCAGTCCTGCTGAAGATTGCTCACTTCTTCTGTTCACTGCAAATAAAAATTTAAAGCTTAGTTTTCCTTGAAAGGCTGCAGGTTACCAACCTTCTTGAAGGCCAAAGTTCATTTTATGATGAGAGGACTATTTTGGACAAACCTTAAAAATAAACTAATGCATGATTTCATGCAGTCATGAGATGTCACACTCAGAATATGTTTTGCGAATGACTCAGCTACTACCACATCAAATGTTAGCTCAGTATATGTTGGATTGACGGAGATATATCCATTTTTGTACTGGCTAATGTTGATTAGTTGTAGTGGCAGCATAGAATTGGATTGTTTTTTGTACTTAATCCAAATTTTCTTCAATTCAATTCAAGAATATTAATCCCAAAGGGAAATTTAATG